TTAATGGGGTGTATTTTTATAAGTAAATTATTAAAGTTCAATAAATAAAAGGAAAATAGTCAAACTTTACGAAAGGAGGCAGAGTTATTATTTTGCCGAGTGAATATGTATTTTGATTATTCTTACCACTTTTTTACCTTATTATTACTTTCATTAAAATATTTGGTTGCTCTAATTGAATCAAAAATGTAACAGTGTTTGTACTACTCACGGTGCACCGCTAAGTAGGCAGGTATTAGCTAGTAGGTATGTACATAAATTGAAGACATTGTACTCATTTATTTAATCACCAAATAAACCAATTGTTGCTTCTACTAGTATGGAAAATTTCCAACACGAAAAGTTTTGGTTTATTTAAACAATGAAACGATATTTTCATTTACCGCAGAAAAATAGTTTTCGAAAGTTTTTCTTATTTCTTCAGCGGTCCTTTTTGACGCATTTCTTTCAGAAGCGGTTGTTGTATAGTTGTTATCTATTATTGCATCTATTTCACTTTCGGAAATGGCGTCAAACGTAGTTTTCTTTTTCACATTTTCTGTTCTTAAAAAGTTGTGCACACATACGCAAGTTAATCTAATCTGAATGGCTGCAGCTGGAGCGCGATGGATGGGTGAAAATAAAACTCGAAAACGGTTCGCAAGAATGCCAAAGCATTTTCAACAACGCGCCTGTAAGTATGTTGTTGTATTTAAGTTCGCTTGGTGATAGTCTTAGATGAGAGTAAGGTTTCATTAAGTAGTCTTTTAGAGCAAAGGCATCATCGGCTAAAAGCACAAAAGGCGAGGGAGTTGACATGAAAGGGAGCGTGCATGGGGCTGGTATATGTACTTCATTTTTTTCAATAGCGTGTATCAGGTCCAGGTTCAACCAAATTCCAGCATCACCCACTCTCCCATTAACACCGACATCAGCATAAATAAAACGATAGTGGGCATCAGCGATTGCCATCAATACAAATGAATGGTATCCTTTGTAATTGAAATACGTAGATCCTGCTTTCCTCACTGGCAGTATTCTGCAATGCTTTCCTGAGACGTTTCATCAGTTGAGTGAATTTAAAAGTGTTAATTGTTAGTTTACCATCTAAAGCGCCGATGCAGTTCGGGAATCCCCACATCTGATAAAAGTCTTTTGCAATATCACGCCAATCTTGCTCACTTGCAGGGAATTTCAAATACTCCTTCCTTAACGCCAAATATATTGCGGGAACTGATTCCTTTAAAATTCTGAAAATGGTTGACTGCTGAATTCGGAACGGCAATTGAAGTGACCTTTGGGTTTCACCTAATTTTGGAAATATGTACATACATATGTATGTCGGTACTAAAAATTACCAAGAAAATATTATATCTTACCAGTGGATAGATATCGCAATGTCAGCTGCAGCCGTTCCGCAGCTCCTATGCAGTTCCTGAATTTTGTATCCTGCTTGCTAATATAGGGGCGTACTTTTTCTAATAAGAATGCAAACTGAGCTGGAGTCATTCTTAAGATATTTTTGTGAAGGATTGAATCCTCGCACTCAATTTCCTTTAACAGTTTATGGCTAAATCCTATGAAAAGTATTTTTGATAATTACAAAAACGAACTATATACATGTGTATATAATGTGGAATTCGAAACTTACCTTCCAGTTCTCTTTTTAAAAGCCATTGCGCAGAATATTTTTTTTTCGTCTTTTTCTTTCTCCTACGCTGCATTAAGGCAGCAGCTTTAGCAAACAATTTGTTGCAATAGATAAAACTTGTATTTCCATTGTATGCTTAGAAAATCTCTCGTATGTCAAAATGCAAACAGCTGTGTAAAAAAACTTACGAAATACAGCCATCTGTCAAAAAAACCTAACGAAATTNTGTATATTGTAATGGCCGCTGAAGTAAATCAATCACCTGCTAATCCCGAACAGCTGACACGAAAATGTAATAGATCTTCGAAAACAGTGCTGGCCATATCTGGAGAAAAGTTAAAGTGTATAGTTTGCAAAGAAAACCATAGATTATATCAGTGCTCAAAATTTAAAGATTTTGATTGTGAAAAGCGATGGGAAATCGTTAAAGCAAATAGGCTTTGCTTTTGCTGCCTCTCTGCGGGTCATAGTGTGTGTAATTGTGCACGACGGCGTACATGCGGTATTTCGTCATGTCAAAAATACCACAACAAATTGTTGCACAATCAGAGCATTCGAACATCGCACACTGGCAACACAGTGCCAGTTGAAACAGCTGTTGTCACCATCAGCTCCAGTCAATCTCTCGCAAATTCGAAAAACCTCTCAGCAAAAGAAAATAGGAAAAAAGTAAACAAAACTTTATTAAAATTCCTGCCAGTCAAACTGCATGGTCCTAAAGGAAATATAGAAGTTATGGCTTTTATTGATGAGGGAGCTAAAGTTACGCTGCTGGAAGAACAAATTGCAAATGAAATTGGCCTTGCAGGTGGAAAAGAATTACTGCGGTTGAAATGGTTCGACAACCAAACGACCAGTGAAGTTTCTAGGCGTGTAAATATGGAAATCTTTAGCACATGCAACGGAGAGGTGAAATTTCTTATGAAGGGAGTGCGTACAGTGCAGAANCTCTCGTATGTCAAAATGCAAACAGCTGTGTAAAAAAACTTACGAAATACAGCCATCTGTCAAAAAAACCTAACGAAATACAAGTTGGCCGGACTGTTTTTAACAACCTAGTTTGTTTTTCGTTTGTTTTTTGGTATATAGCTTACTCGCTTACACAAGTACTGAAATTGTATGTGACCTTCCCTTTCTTTCAAAATACAGCGTAAGATACACTCGAAATACAAGAAAAAAAACGTAGTATCATACGGGCAAAAGAAAACCATAGATTATATCAGTGCTCAAAATTTAAAGATTTTGATTGTGAAAAGCGATGGGAAATCGTTAAAGCAAATAGGCTTTGCTTTTGCTGCCTCTCTGCGGGTCATAGTGTGTGTAATTGTGCACGACGGCGTACATGCGGTATTTCGTCATGTCAAAAATACCACAACAAATTGTTGCACAATCAGAGCATTCGAACATCGCACACTGGAAACACAGTGCCAGTTGAAACAGCTGTTGTCACCATCAGCTCCAGTCAATCTCTCGCAAATTCGAAAAACCTCTCAGCAAAAGGGAATAGGAAAAAAGTAAACAAAACTTTATTAAAATTCCTGCCAGTCAAACTGCATGGTCCTAAAGGAAATATAGAAGTTATGGCTTTTATTGATGAGGGAGCTAAAGTTACGCTGCTGGAAGAACAAATTGCAAATGAAATTGGCCTTGCAGGTGGAAAAGAATTACTGCGCTTGAAATGGTTCGACAACCAAACGACCAGTGAAGTTTCTAGGCGTGTAAATATGGAAATCTCTAGCACATGCAACGGAGAGGTGAAATTTCTTATGAAGGGAGTGCGTACAGTGCAGAAGTTGTTGTTGCCTCCGCAGACGTTATGTGCGGAGTTGTTTAAGAAGCAAAATAAAGAATTGAGCATACTTCCAATACAGAGTTACACTGATGCTATGCCGAAAATTCTAATTGGAGTGCCACACACTAATTTAGTACGCCCTTTGCAAGTTGACAATTTCAACGAAGGTTTTACGGCTCATGAGACAAAGTTAGGTTGGATGGTGTTCGGATCAGATGAAAACGGTTCTGATTCGGCAACAATTTGCCATGTGCACATATACGACTCTAGGAATGAGCTGCAAAAGCAAGTCGCCTATTATTTTGCTATAGAAAATTTTGAGGCAAAACTACCACCCATAAAAGCAGCTGCGGATATTAGAGCTGATCGTATTTTGCGAAATACAACAAAGTTTGTAGGAGATAGGTATGAAACCGGATTATTATGGCAAAATGATGAGGTAACTTTTCCAGAGAGTTATGTTGCAGCGTTAAAACGGCTTCAATCTGTAGAGAAAAAATGTCAGCGGATGTTAAGTATGAGAAGTGGTATTATGAGAAAATAAAGGAATATGTAAAAAAGGGTTATGCTAGAAAGCTATCATACAATGAAGCGAAATTGTCAGGCGACCGTGCATGGTATTTACCTCACTTTGCGGTGTACAATATTAAAAAGGGCAATAAACCTAGGCTAGTTTTTGATGCAGCCGCTACAGTATGCAATGTCTCTTTAAATTCAAAGCTAATGAAGGGTCCTGATGAATATCAGCCGAAACCACTGCTGTCAATTTTGTTGAAATTTCGCGAAGGGAAGGTAGCTATTTGCGGGGACATAAGAGAGATGTTCCATCGTATAAATATACGTGAACAAGACCAACATTGCCAGAGATTTCTCTGGCGTGAAGGGAACTCGTCAAAACAACCTGACGTGTATGTAATGAAGGCCATGATTTTTGGTTCTGTTTGCTCCCCTTGCTCTGCTCAGTTTGTAAAAAACTTGAATGCAGTGAAATTTAAAGATGATTATCCGAGGGCAGTGGAAGCAATTGTGAACCGGCATTATGTTGATGACTATGTAGATAGTTTTTCTGATATTGACGAGGCCATAAGTGTTGCAAACAAAGTAGTTGACATTCACAGAATAGGAGGATTTGAACTTAGGGGTTTTGTATCGAATTCTACGAGGTTATTGCAGGCCATGAATGGGTCGTCAGTGCATGAGTGCGCTACTAAAAATATGGGCAGTGCTGAATCAACATGCGACAAAGTTTTGGGTATGCACTGGGATGCTAAGCGAGATGTATTCTACTTCAACTTGACATTCGCTAGGGTACCGAAGTCAGTTTTGGATGGCAGCCGACGACCAACGAAAGCTGAATTGTTGGGGTTAACTATGTCGATCTTCGACCCATTTGGACTTGTAGCAAACGTGACGCTGGTTCCGAAAATTTTATTGCAGAGATTGTGGCAACTCAATATAGGTTGGCATGATGCAATACCCAAAGACGTGTACGATAAATGGTACGGATGGTACAAAATGCTGGATGAGCTAAAGCAATTTCAAACACCGGTCAATATTTTACAGACCCATTTGCTGAAATTGAATTACATATACTTGTAGATGCAAGTGAGTAAGCGTATGCTCCTGTCGCGTATTTTCGCATATGCTATAACGATGAGGTTAGCGTTTCTTTCATCGTTGCTAAGTCTCGATGTAGTCCTTTAAAGCCAATGTCGATTCCTCGATTAGAACTTCAGGCCGCAGTTTTAGCCTAAATCAGTGCATTATTGGTCGGATTCCAAAACTGTGATTCAGTGGATTCGATCGGAGGCTCGCCAATACAAGCAATTCGTAAGTAATCGAATTTCTGAGATTCTTGACACATCTGATGTTGCTCAATGGAGATGGGTGCCTGGTTCGCTTAACCCAGCTGACGACGCAACGCGATCGCAGGCCTGTAATATATTCTCAATAAACTCAAGGTGGTTAAATGTTCCCGCCTTTCTGAAACAGAGCAAAGACAATTGGCCATTGTTTCCAGACATTCCTAACAATTACAACGATGAAGAGAAAAGGGCAAAGCCGCTGTATTCCGTTCAAATGGAGGAGGATGGTTTACCTTTCACCAAATTTTCAAATTTTTACAAATTTCTTAAAATTATGACGAGTGTTCGATATGCTGTTTTAAGATTTTCCGCGTTCATATGCAAAGATGCTGAACTTTCTGAAGTACCACTAAAGATTACTGCAAATGATATTATCGAAACAGAGGCACTGCTAATACGGCTTGTTCAAGTAGCAGAATTTGCTGACGAAGTCAAATCGCTGCGAGATGGATCACCAGTTTCGAAGCGGAGCCAACTGCTGAAACTAACGCCCGTGCTAGACGACAAAGGATTATTACGGCTTGGAGGTCGTATCGACAATGCTGTATGCCTACCGGTTTGTACAAAAAGCCCAGTTATTTTGCCGAAAGAGCATGCAATGTCGCGACTAATAGTCCGACACTTTCACGAAATATTTTACCATCAAAATACAGAGGCAATCATCTGTGCCATTCGAGCTAAATATTGGATTCCAAACGTGCGGTGTCTTCTTAAGTCAGTCAAACGCGAATGTCAGTTTTGCAAAAATGCAGCAGCTAAGCCAAGTCCCCCACTTATGGGTCAAATACCAGCTGACCGACTAGAGCCTTACGTAAGGCCGTTTACGTACACGGGAATCGATTACTTCGGACCAGTTACGGTTTCAATTGGACGGCGGCGCGAAAAGGGATGGGTAGCTTTGTTTACCTGTCTGGCGATTAGAGCAATACATCTAGAGTTGGCGAGAGACTTGTCAACCGATTCAGTGATTTTATGTCTACGTAACTTCGTTAATCGTAGGGGTGTTCCTGTTCGCATACGTAGTGACAGAGGAACAAATTTTGTTGGAGCTAGCAAAGTTGAGTGGTTGCATGTTGCAGAGGGCATAGAGGGCGAATGTACTCGTCGCGGGATCGAGTGGGTGTTCAACACACCTGGGCATCCATCGGCGGGTGGCGCATGGGAGCGCATGGTTAGAAGCGTTAAACGTGTGCTGGCATTCACTCTGAAAGAAGTGGCTCCACGAACGGAAACTTTGCAAAGCTTACTCATCGAAGCCGAAAATTTAATTCATTCGCGTCCGCTAACGCATTTGTCTGTCGAAAGTATAGATGATAGCCCACTGAGACCCAACCATTTTCTGCTGGGTTGTCCTAACTACGTACAAACTCCTGATGGGTCTGATACAATTTGCTTAAGAAAACAGTGGCGAATTCTGCAACATTTGAAACAGACGTTTTGGCGCAGGTGGATACTCGAATATCTACCAAGTCTCACTCGTCGTACTAAGTGGCATCAGAGAGTCAAT